GGGGCCTGGGGGCCTGGCGAGGGTCAGGGGCCTGGGGCCCTGGCTGAGGGCGAGGGTCGGGGGCCTGGGGGCCTGGCTGAGGGCGAGGGTCGGGGCCTGGGGGCTTGGGGGCCTGGCTGAGGGCGAGGGTCGGGGGCCTGGCGGCCTGGCTGAGGGCGAGGGTCGGGGGCCTGGCGGCCTGGCTGAGGGCGAGGGTCGGGGCCTGGGTGGGTGGATTCTGGGCAGAGAGCCCCCTACGCAGGCCGTGTGCACAGACAAGCCTGTCTTCCGAGTCCCGGGGCGGCTCCTGGTCCCGTTGTCCCCATGTGTAGGGCAGACGCTGGGCCCAGGGCTTTGCGTTTTGCCGCATGTCTGCCCGTGTCCACCCGTGTCCTGCGCTTCAGCGCCAAGTCCTCAGGGTGAAGCGTCCCTGGGAGCCAGGGGTGCCTGGACAGTGGCCGTGAGGTACGCGGTCTCACCATGTTTCAGAACTGCCCTGCGTCAGGCAGGCGCTAAAGCTAGCGGCTGCCTCTCACGGGCCAGGCACGTGTGTTGGTGCCTGTGTGCAGGTTCACGTGTGCGTGACTTTCTGTGTGTGCTGCTCTGCCCACATTGCAGGTGTGTGCGCGTGTTTGTGTGGGAGGGGGCGGTCCCACCTGCTGTCCACCCCAGGCCCCCGAGGCTCCTCTCTGTCTCCAGTAGGTGGGCTGGGAGCGGGGAGGGGGCGCAGCCATGGTCTTGGGGCACGCCCCCAAGAACCAGGTGAGAAGCCGGGACCTGGAGCCCCCTGACCTGACAGCTGGCCGTCCGAGCCCCACCACGGGGCAGGCCTAGTTGGTGTGAGATCAGGGTTGCAGGCACCTTTCACCTCGGAGCAGGGTGGAGCCCCTCACCATGGAGCAGTGGAGGGGGGCTGTCATCAGGGCGGCCCGAGGGCTGTTAGCAGAAGGAAGCGAGGCTGTGCTGGGTAGAGCAGGTGCAGCGCAGCCCACCTTCGGAAACGGGGCTCCTTGGTGGGGCCGCTGCATTGAGGACCACATCTCAGGGGCTTCTGTCTATCGTCCCAGCACCACAAGGTCCTGAAACCCCATCTTTCCAGTGTGTGCAAGGTTAGGAGCTCAGGCCACACCGTGTCCTGGGTGCATCAGATCCTTGCCAGGCACTACATGCAGCCTAGGGGCTGGGCCAGGAGCCCCACAGCCCCGTCGACACCCCACGCCTCTGCGGGGAAGCCAGCTGTGCGTTCCTGGGGCTGCTAGGTGGGGCGGGGCCCATGCAGACCCCAAGCCCTCGGCCGGCCCCAGAGAGCTGCTGCTGCTGCTGCTGCTCTGGGTGGACAGAGGCCCAAGCGCAAGGTCCCACAGCTGGCCCCTCGGTGCCCCCGGGTCACCGCAGCCCTTCCCCTGGGTGGGCAGGGCAGGCGGAGTCTCCATGTTGATTCTCTCCTGCTGCCTTTTGTGTCCTCACAGATGCGACAAGGCGCCTTCCTGGTGAACACGGCCCGGGGCGGCCTGGTTGATGAGAAGGCGCTGGCCCAGGCCCTGAAGGAGGGGCGGATCCGGGGTGCAGCCCTGGACGTGCACGAGTCGGAGCCATTCAGGTGCCTCCTGGCAGTGCCCTGGGTGGTCCCTGGACAGCTCCTCTCCCACCCGGGCCCGCACCCAGCCTCGTGCCACGTGATGGCCGCTGCCAGGAGTGGGGCCCAGCCCACCACCGCGTGGCCCAGCTGCAGGTCCCAGGGCACAGCGTCCTTGGGCTTGGTGTCCAGCCTGAGGACTGCTCCAGGCGGGCCCGTCCCCGGGGTCCGGCCAGGTCTCAGTGGGAGGGTGTCCTGCTGCTGTCAGGAGCCCGTGGGCAGGTGTGCCCGTCCCCAGGTCCCCTGGTCCGACGCAGGGGTGGAGCGTGGGTCCAGGCTGGGTCAGGCACCCCCAATGCTACCCTGACCTGCTTTGTGCCACTTGTAGCTTTAGCCAGGGCCCCCTGAAGGATGCGCCCAACCTGATCTGCACCCCCCACGCAGCCTGGTACAGCGAGCAGGCGTCCATTGAGATGCGGGAGGAGGCGGCACGGGAGATCCGAAGGGCCATCACAGGTGAGGGCCCTGAGGCCACACTCCGCCGGGCCCCCAAGGGCAGAGGTCAGCGGCCGGCTTCCACACAGTGCTCCCCACGCAGCCCTCGGGTTCCCCTCATGCCTGCTCGCCGTCACCCATGTGGGAGTTTGGCACGTGCGCCCTCCCTCGGCCTGCGTTTCAAAAGTCTGGCTGTGCTTGTGAACCTGGGCTGGGCCTTTGCTGCCCTCTGGAGTTCCTAAGACCGCAGGTATGGGGGCCCAGAGGGGAGCTAAGGGCACCGCTCAGTGCAGGGGGTTCCCTGGGCTGCGTGGTGACCACGTCTGGATGGGCCTCTGCTGGGCCTGAGGGGAGGGGTCGCAGCTGGGGGCTCCTCGCTGCAGCCGCTGCGCATGGCACTGCCCTCCCTCTCTCTGCTGCGTCTCCCAGGCCGGATCCCCGACAGCCTGAAAAACTGCGTCAACAAGGATCACCTGACAGCGGCCACCCACTGGGCCAGCATGGACCCCGCTGTCGTGCACCCTGAGCTCAATGGGGCTGCCTACAGGTGAGTGGGGGTGGGGACACGGAACACTCCTGTGATGAGTGTGGCCAGGGCAGGGTCCCATGGGGGCGCCCAGGCCTGGACATGCATGCTGCTGTGGGCCCCAGGGGACCGCAAGAGCCCAGAGCAGGACGGCCTTTCTGGCCTGGAGGCACCGGACACGGGGGCAGAGACCGCCGGAGGGACCTGGGCCAGCGCCCCCTCCCCCACTGCCAGCTTCACATGCCATCCTCCCCCCAGCAGGTATCCGCCCGGCGTGGTAGGCGTGGCCCCCAGCGGCATCCCGACCGCCGTCGAGGGCATCGTCCCCAGCGCTATGTCCCTGTCCCACGGCCTGCCCCCTGTATCCCACCCGCCCCACGCCCCTTCTCCCGGCCAGACCGTCAAGCCCGAGGCAGATAGAGACCATGCGAGTGACCAGTTGTAGCCCGGGCGGAGCTCTGCAGCCTCGGCGCCCTCGGATGGCGCGTGTGGAGACGGCGCCTGCGAGGCCACAGCGCCCAGAGACTGTGCCGGCCGCATGGGCGAGAGGCCGCGCTCCCCGCGTCAGCTGCGGCGTCCGTCCCCGGGCCGGCCGCTGTCCTGTGTTCTCTGCGTCCTCGTTAAGCAAAAGAAGTTAGTAGTTAATTCTATCATGAATGTCCTTGTCCGTGTACAGTCTTTAGAACATCACGAAGGAGCGGTTTGCTTAGCTGTCACCAGGCGCGTGCCCACGGGGCCGCGTCCGAGGGGAGCGCGCCCGCCCCAGACCGTCGGGCAGACTGCTCAGGGCCACGGCTCCGCCCGCGTTTCTTTCTGCGCCACACAGTGCATTGTTTTTTCTACCTGCTTGTCTTATTTTTAGAATAATTTAGAAAAACAAAACAAAGGCTGTTTTTCCTAATTTTGGCATGAATTCCCCTTGTTCCAAACGGAGACGGCATCGCAAAGTGGCTCGAAGAGAAGCGGAGGCTGTGTGGCGCGGCGCCCGGCCGTCGGCGCGGGTCTGGGACGTGAGGGCGCGCGGCCCGCGCGGTGCCGCCCTGCTGACGTGGTAGGCTAGCAATATTTTGGTTAAAACCATGTTTGTGACTGTAACCATTTGTATGAATTATTTTAAAGGAATAAAAATCCCAGAAAGAGCCGGCAGACCCAGCGTCTGTGTTGGTGGCTTCGCCTCGCCTCACGGGGACACTGGCGGGTCTCCAGCCTGGGGAAACCTGGGGGGGGGGCGGTGCTCCTTGTTGGGGGGCCGGCCCTGACTGCGCTGCGGCCGGGGAGCGGCGGGCGGGTGGCCCAGGTGCAGGCGGACGCGGCCCCCCGTGCGTGCCCCTCCCTCAGGCCCTTCTGGGACCGCCATGGCCTCTGCAGACACAATCCGGGGACGCCGCAGGGGCCCCCGGCTCCACCGCTTTCGGAAACGTGCAGAGCGGAGCAGTGCTCCCCTGGCGGTAGCTTGGGGCTAGGCGGGGCTGCATGGCGCAGCCACGGGTTCTCAGGGCTCTCTGTGGCTTGCGGGCACCCTCAGCCCTCGGCCCACGCGTCCCTGCCCTGCGCCGGCCAGGGGTATGCACGACGGGGGCCCCGGGGACAGGGACGGGGCCTCCCCAGCCCAGCGTCCCCCTCCCGGCCCGAGCCACCTCAGCGTACCTAGGGTCACGTCGCAATTCGGTGTTGTGCCTGCTGGAGCTCGGCCTTCGGCTGTCTTTCCAGCACGTTCCTCGGAGGGGACGCCGTCTGCAGGTGCCTGTGTGGAACTTCTGGGAAGCACACAGTCTTGCCCACTCTGGGTGAGGCGCTGGCAGACAGGGCCCCCTGGGAGCTGCCTTCCGCCTATGCACACGCCTTTCCGTGGTCTTCCGGCCTCCAGCCCGAACAGCTGGTGGCCTGGCCGGGCCCCTCCGCGGCGGCTTGTGATCCTTAGGCGGTGGAAACACGTGCGGGGCGATGGACCGAGAGGAAAGCACAGGTGTAAAGACACGGTAGAATCACGGCCAGAAGGAACACCGTGTTTGCGTCTGGAGCGGGACGAAGGATGATGAGATCTCCGGTCGTGGCCCCAGGGAGGGGACGTGCCAGACGGGAATCCCTCCCGTACAGAAGGACCAGCAAATTCAGCAGTTGGTTCTTGGAAAGACTTAATAGAATTGATCACAGTTGGCCAGACAGACAAAGTCGGGGAGGCTGCGTGGGCGCGGGCACGCAGCCCCCAGGGTCATTGACGACAGAATCCGATGAGCAACTTCACACTGCAAATGCAGAAGAAACGAGAAGCCACTCGCCAGATCCGACGGAGCGTGAGTGATTGGAACAGCTCCGTGACCCGAAAGATGCTGCGTCACGGACACCTTCTCAAAGAGGGTTTCAAATCAAATGGCTGCGTTCGTTAGCGTCGAGAAGTAAGTGACCTCACACGGACTTGACCGGACACTGGGGACGCCCTTCCCAATGTATTTTATGAGGTCGGCTCTCACTCCACATCCCCGAAAGAAAAGGCCCCGTCCAGGGGCGCCTAGGGGCTCAGTCGGTTAAGCGTCCGACTTCGGCTCAGGTCATGATCTCACGGTTCATGGGTTCGGGCCCCGCGTCGGGCCCTGTGCTGACAGCCCGGAGCCTGGAGCCTGTTTCAGATTCTGTGTCTCCCTCTCTCTCTGCCCCTCCCCTGTTCACACTGTGTGTGTCTCTCTCTCAGAAGTAAATAAAACATTAAAATTTAAAAAAAGGAAAGGAAAGAAAAGGCCCCGTCTGGAATCATCCTGAGGGGTGTGAACTTGCTCTGCAAGGTGGCACACAGTCTCGGCCCCGGGACCAGGGCGCGGCCTCCTCTGCTCCGAGACCCAGGCGCCCTCCCCACCCCCACCCCCACCCCCACCCCGCCGAGGATGTGCTGTGCTGCCGGCTCACAGCCGAGTACTCTCTGGGGTCGTCCCCAGCCCCGGGGAGCAGACCCTCCCAGGGAAGCCTCCCTGCTGACATTGTGGTTCAAAGATCCAGCCTTTTGGCTCAAGAAGACCATTACGATGGTCTGTGGATCCGCTGGCGGACGCCCAGCTGCTGCATGTCTCCCAGAAGGCGAGCCAACTTTCCTGCCCCCGGGGCGTCCCCAGGGCAGATGCGGGTGCGTGGTGACAGACGAGTGCCGCGGCTTCCGTCACGTGGCTCTTGACGGTCGGGGATTGGAGATGTCCTTAGATGCTCTTTCGCGGTGGAACCACCCGCAGCGACAGCGAGGGACCAGGGTACAAGCCCACGGACAGCCTGAGGGAGAGGCGTGCATGGCGTGCGAGGGGTGTAGTCTCCCAAAGTGAGCCCCCTGCCCCCTGCCCCTTGCCTCTTGCCCTGTCCGCCCCGACCTGATGCCCTGGTCACAGGAGGGGGGAGGTGCCAGCCCCTGGGGCAGCACCCCGCCCCTGAGGTCCCCCACCTGGCCTCTGGCTCCCAAGCCCTGCACAGGTCACTGGAGGTGTGGCCGGTGGCCTGGGGTCTCAGGGCCAACCCTGTGGGTGGCCCCTGCCTCACCGTGCGTGGGTCCACTGCTCCTGGCCTCGCCCAGCAGCTGGACGCTGCCCGGCCCACCTTTGTCCCAAGGGCCAGTCCTGTGAGGCCTCCTGGGGCCTCCTCGGAAGACCGGTCACGGCCCCCCCCACCTGACCCCCTTGGCTCCAAGGCCCAGACCCCACGTTCCCCACACGGCACACCCAGTCCTGGGGGCCCCTTGCCGAGCCCACCGGCATCTGCTCAGTGCCCCCGCCCGCGCCTCTGCCCGCCTGGGCTCCGTGGACACACGGGTGGCCTAGGCCTCAGCGGGAAGTGGCTGGGGGGCTGGGGGGGGAGCTCTGGATGCGTTTGGAGAAAACAGCCGCCGGGCTGCCGACGCCGGGCGCGCGTGTGGCCGTTGGAGCAGCGAGGGCGACTGCAGGCAGGGTCTGGGGCGCGGGCCCGAGCAGGCGGGGCTGTGGGAGACGCAGAGCTCGGCCCAGGCCTGGGGCCGGGAGGCAGAAGGCAGGAGTCCCCGCCCTTCACTGCCCTCGGCCTTGTGTCCCCGTCTGGGAAACGGAGGCCTCAGCTTGCCTTCCTGGAGCTTAATGTGCTACCGGAGGCCGCGGGACAAGAGCGTGAGGGCGAGGTCGGAAGGCAAGGGGGCCGTCTCGGTGCAGAAAACCCAACAAATCCGCTGCAGCGGACGTGCGCTCGCACCAGCTCGGGGGCAGCGCGCCCGCGTGCGGCGACCCGCTGAACGCAGGGCGACCGGCTGGCAGCGGGCACGTGCCCCGGGGTTCAGTTCTCTGCCCTTCCGCCCCGTTTCCGTCAGGTGTGGCGTGTGGCCCGTGCCGACCAGAGCCCAGGCGCCTGCTGCCTGCACCCGCCGCGAGCCCGGCCTCCCTACGGACCCTGAAACATCCGAATGCCCGCAAACGTTTGTTGTGTGGGGGGAAGATTAGCAGGATAATATAGGCCTGCTCCAAACCGGCACAGAAGCTCGTCACAGCTCAGGCCAAACTGCCACCTGCTTGGTTTTTTCTTTTTCTTTTATTTATTAAACAAAAAAAAAATTTCTAATGTCTTTATTTTGAGAGACAGAGAGCGAATGGGGGAGGAGCAGAGAGAGAGGGAGACACAGAATCCAAAGCAGCTCCAGGCTTCAAGCTGTCAGCACAGAGCCCGACGTGTGGCTTGAACCCAGGGACCGTGAGGTCATGACCTGAGCTGAAGTCAGATGCTTAACAGACTGAGCCACCCAGGCGCCCCTGTTTTCTTTTTAGGGAGAAAGTGCGCTGGAGCCGGGGAGGGCAGAGGGGGAGGGGGAGGGAAAATCCAAGCAGGCTCCGTGCTCAGCACAGAGCTGGACACGGGGCTCAAACCCGTGGCCCTGGGACCATGACCTGAGCCAAAATCAAGAGTCAGATGCTCAACAGCTGAGCCCCCCGGGCGCCCTCTCCATGTGTTTATTTTTTGTTAATTTTTTTCTTTTTAATGTTTTATTTATTTCTGAGAGACAGAGAGAGACAGCATGAGCAGAGGAGGGGCAGAGAGAGAGAGGGAGACACAGAATCTGAAGCAGCTCCAGGCTCCGAGCTGTCAGCACAGAGCCCGACGTGGGGCTCGAACCCACGAACCATGAGATCATGACCTGAGCCGAAGTCGGACGCTCAACCAACAGCCACCCAGGAACTCCTCCATGTGTTTATTTTTAACAGATTCCACAACCTTATCCCCAAGCGTATGTGGAATCACAGCAGCCTGGGAATTTGGGAACGTAAGGCTTTAGAGCACCGGTATTCCCTGCTTTCCAAAAGTTCAAGTCCGCCATTTCTTTTATGAAAACTACCTTAGTCCAGTGAAGGCTTTTTTCCCCATAAACGTGGAAAGTCCTCTCTACCATTCTTCCACCAAAAACGTGCATTAACGAGGCCTCTTGTAAAAGACATGGCACAACAGGAACTTGGAGAAGCGGGGGCGCCCCCCTCTGTGGGGGTCTTCGTGGGGACGAGGTGCTGGCAGAGCGCCTGGTCCTGAGCGGCTGTAACCTTGGACGGGTGTACGGGGAAGAGAGAGCCCGGAGCGCTGCGGTGTCTGCGTGCACACGTGCGCATGCACACTCGAGATGTGATGCAGGGGAGCAGGTCCACGCAGAAGGACGGCCCTGTAGCGGGTGAAACTGTGCGGCTCCGGCTCCGGGGCAGAAGGGCGACTCCCGGAGGCCAGGGCGCAGAGAGCGCGTCTCCGGCGTGGGGACTGCTTAGGACAAAGCATGTAGCAGAGAACCCACCGGAACGGGCTCCTGGGCGGGGTGAGGAGCTCTGCTGCCAGAGGGCAGGGGTGGGTGGGGTGGGGGTCCCAGCACTGATGCTGGTGGGGAGGATCAGACCGCGGGGCTCCGTCTGGGCTGCTGTCTGATGCGGCTGGTGGGGGCTGGGGTGCTGCTCCGGGGGCTCGAGACGGTGGGTGGGCACCCAGCAAGGGCTCCGTGGATGCCAGCTGGGCCTTGGGCAGGACACTGGGGCGCACTGTCCTGGGGGTGGCCTGCGCTGGGGACAGGGCAGGGAGGCAGCCTCCCGGTGACCTCACCCTCACCCAGGCTGCCCACCCCTGCTTCCCCTGGCTTCCGGCCCAGAGGAGGCGGGAGGGTCCACATCTGCTGCAGCG